TAGAAATCGCAAGGAGAAGAAGAGGAGGAGGAGGAGGAGGAAGGGGGAGAGGACGACTGCGGCGACGGCGACGACGACGACGACGGCGACGGCGACAGAGACTCACTTAAGTTCAAGAATGAAGTCCAAGACGGTCCCTGAGGTGACAGAAGGCTCGCGCTTCAGGCTTCGACGTTCACCCGTGGCCATTGTGGCTCAATTTTCAGGCTCGCGCTTCTGTCTTCGACGTTCAGCCGCCGACAGCATCAGCCCAGCTTCTCGCGCAGGCTCAGTTCCGCAATGTCTGCAGATCCTTTCAGTTCTGAGGAGGGTACGTACGCGAAGATGCACAGGGCCCCTCAGGGCGAGGACGCCTTGTCGCTCAGGGAGCGGAAGAGGCTCAAAGCAGAGGCTAAGAGGGAGGCCGCTGCTGACCAGAAGGCTCAGGCCAAGGCCGCTGCTGAGGCGGCGTCAGTGAAGAGAACGCCCAGGAAGAGGCCTGCCGCGGAGGTCAGCAGGCAGCAGCGATCAGGAGAGCAGGGAGCAGGCAGCAGCGCTCAGGAGAGCGAGGACTCCCACAGCGGCAGCTACGATGATCCGCCCAAGAGTCAGCCCCAGAGTCAGCTGGGAAAGCCTGCCGCTAAGGTTGACGTGTTGAGCCGCCTCGGGCCTTCAGGCAGCGCGCCTTTCAGAGGCCTCCTCTGAGTCAAGTCAGACTAGTGTCTCTCGTGCGCCCTGTCAGACCTCTGCACTTTGCTCAGGCCGCACCTCGCCGTCCGTTTCAGAGTTTTGGCTTTCAGTGTTCGCGTCATCAGCGAGCCCGCCTTCCTTTTCAGAGTTCTGGTGTTCAGCTCTCGCGTCGTCAGCGAGACCGCCAGATTGTCTCAGTTGAAACCCAGAGAACGCCCGAACGTTCAGGCGCCGAGGCCAGGCGTCGCAGAGAAAATGATTCAGCTTGCCTTTTGCCCGCTGCCAGTCCGATAGATTCATCTCAGATTCAGCGGCGCTGCCGCGCGGTTCCGCCGCCGCGCTCGGGCGGGCGATGCAACAAGAGGGGGGGGGGGGGGGGGTTCTAATTAGTGTTTCGCAAGGACGCGCGCGCAGGACAGCTTAGCGAATTCTAACGCTTCGCGCGATCCCCACCAGCCCCTCCAGAACCTATCAACTTGAAAAAGGAAATCAGATGTTCTCAGCTGTTCCGCAATTTTTCCCTATGGTTTTCTCAGCTTTTCCTTTGGTTTTCTGAGCTTTCCTTTAGTTTACTTGAGCTTTTCCTGACTGTTCAATGTTTCTGTTGGTTTTCTTGGCTTTTCTTACCTTTTCGCTGTTTTTTTTGTTAGCTTTTCATTTGCGCGTTCAGCTCTTCCCCAGTTTTCCTCAGCTTTACTTTAGTTTTCCTCAGCTCATCCGCAGCCTGTCCTTAGTTGTCCTCAACGGTTCCGTCGTTTTCTTAATTGTTCTTTGGTTTTCCTAGCTTTCTTGGGCTTCTCCTCAGCTTTTCCTCAGCTCTTCCTTAGTTGTTCATCAGATGTTCCTCAGCTTTCCTGGGCATCTCCTCAGCTTTTCCTCAACTTGTCCTCAGGTTGCCTCAGTCTTCTTTAGCTTTCCCATAGCTTTTCCACAGCGTCTAGCTCTTCCTCGCCTTTCTTTAGTTCTCCTCAGCTGTTCCTTAGTTTTCCTTTGCGGTTCCTCTGCTTTTCCTTAGCCTTTCCTTCAGTTTTTCCTCAGCTGTTCTTCAGATTCTCGTTAGCTTTTCCTTAGGATGTCTCAGTTTTCTTTAGGGTTCCATGAGCTTTGCCTAAGGTGTTCTAAACTTTTCTTTGGTTTTCTTTAGCTTTACCTACGCTTTTCCTCAACGTTTCCCTGTACACTTCAATGGAAAACAGAGAGATCTTCGCTTGCACTCTTCACATTCCTTGCGAGTTTCTTTCTTGGCACCATAGGGAATCCCGCCGCATACTTTTTTTTGGCTTTTGCGCGCGGGTGCTAAGAATATCGCTCGGCTGAAATAGCCCCTCGGAATATTGAATAAAAACCGGGTGCTAATAATAACACAGGGGGGGGGTCTTAAATGCTTTTCCCGGTTTCGTGATGATGGACTGGAGGGGGGGGGTGTTCGAACCAGTAGTGACCCCCCCCCCGGTTTTCGAGGGGGGGGGGGGGGGGACGGGTTAGGAACCCCCAGTGACCCCCCCGGTTTCCCGCCAGCAGCGGTAGAATTCGCCCTTTCCATCCTCAACATCATCACTGTCGTCATCATCATCGCCACCACCACCACCACCACCATCAACATCAACATCAACATCAACATCATCATCAAAATCAGCATCATCAGCCCCGTTGCCAAACCTATGCGGGGCTTTGGCAGCGAGGACGAGGGAACATCCCGACAAGCACAAGCCCCGTGCGGGAACTGCGCAGGGACGCTCCCCCCCTTCCCGCGTGCACCGATGGAGGAACACGCGCGTCGGGGGCCATCCGCATTTCATCTGTGACGCGGGAGGCCTCCTTCAGGCTGCCGTTCCAAAACGGGGGCCGCAGCGAGACGCGCCACGCTGCGTACTGCAAGGCGCAGCAGGCAACCAGCCGGGCACCAAACCATGCCGCTGCGTGGTCCTTACATGGTTCCGTGGGGCACGATGCCCCAGGACCGCACATGTCCCCAGACATGCGAAGTCTGGACCCTTTCCCCAGGACCGGTTTTTCATCCTGAGTCGTTTCTTGACGGTCCCGAGGCCCGGCGAGGGCCCCCAAGGTCCGAAAATAGTGAAAAACCGCCCGTCCTGATTTTTTCACGACGCGATCATGCCTGTGTCCGGAACGTGCCATGGGATACCGGCACGCGCGTCGCACGAAACACGCCGCGAGTGGCTCGAGCACATTCTATAACACAACCGGGCCGGCGGGCCCAGAGCGATTTCGCCTCTGGGCTCGAGCCAGCGGCCACGGACGGCGACGACGATGGCGACAATGATGCTGCTGCCAGAGACAAGGAAGTCTCGGCCAGGGGCCATGCCCGCGAAGCACCGAGCCCGCGACACTCCGTCCAGCCCTTTCGGTGCCACGGTCTCCGCCAGTCTCCTGCCGCCCCCCGGTCGGAGAGGGACGGACAAAGGAGAAGGATGACGGGTACACAATGTTTACCCCCCCCGATCTCCCCTGGGCCCCTCGACCCCTCCCGGGCCCTCCGAAGGCCTCGAAGCACCGCTTGCCCAGCGCCGCGCCGAAATCCTGACGCTCGGACGGGCCCCCATCGGTGTCACGGCTTCCGCCGGCCAGCCTCTGCACCAAGGCCCGGGGCGGATGTCCAAACCGACGGGCTGGCATCCCCCGGAAAGGGGCTTCGCGACAGGCTCCTGCCCTCGGCCGGCGACGCCAGGGGAATTCAGAACCGACGGGCTGGGATCCCCAGAAAGGCAAGGGGCTTCGCGACAGGCTTCTGCCCTCGGCCAGCGATTCGAGGGGGGGGGGGGGGCAACATTTGTCCGCCGCGCGGGCGCGCGCAACACATACTGGAACCAGCCCGATGCTGGTGATCCGCCCCATGACCGAGGAGACTTCCGCCTCCCTGCGACATCCCCGCCCCGCGAAGATCATGCTGACAGGCGCAGCCCCCCTGGAACTTTACGTCAGACTGCCATCATTACCAACACCACCAGCATCATCATCGTCATCGTCATCATCATCATCATCATCATCATCATCATCATCAGCATCATCATCATCATCATTATCATCATCATCATCACCATCATCACCATCACCATCACCATCACCATCACCATCACCATCACCATCATCATCATCACCATCACCATCACCTTCACCATCACCATCACCATCAGCATCACCATCGCCATCACCATCAGCATCAGCACCAGCATCATTATCATCATCATCATCACCATCATCATCATCATCATCATCATCACCATCACCATCACCATCACCATCACCATCACCTTCACCATCACCATCAGCATCAGCATCAGCATCAGCATCAGCATCAGCATCAGCATCAGCATCAGCATCATCATCATCATCATCATCATTACCATCATGACTAAAACTCACTATCATAACCATCATCCGCATCATCATCACCATAAGCAGCATCGTACCTCCTCCTCCTCCTCCTCCTCCTCATCATCATCATCATCATCATCATCATCAACAGCATCAGCATCATCATCATCATCACCATCACCATCGTCATCGTCATCATCACCATCATCATCTGCCTCCTGCCCCTCCTCCGTTGCCTGTCCTGGCTCCCTCTTCCAAGCGCCGCCCTCCCCCATCCGCCTTCTGCCCCAGGTCTGCCCTCCCCAACGCCGAGGGGTCAGGAGGGCGCCCCCCCAGCCCCCCTCTCCACCTCCTCTGGCCCACTCCGCCTTCCCTCTCTCCCCCTCCTCGCCCTGTCCCTTCCTACACCCTACTTCCTCGTCCGAGAAGGGGGGAGGAGGGAACGGGGAGGTAGGGAGTGAAGGAAGGAAAGGAAGAGGCGGAGGAAAAAAAGGAAGAGGATGGTGGGGGAGGTAGAGGAGATGAAATGAACTTTTCCTCCTCCTCCTCCTCCTCCTCCTCCTCCTTCTCCTTCTCGTTCCTCCACCCAGACCCCCAATCCGAGTTTCGGCTTGGTCATGTGCTCGTAGCAGTCGAAATTGTCGTCGTCGTCGTTGTAGTCGTCGATGTCTTCCTCCTCCGCCGTCTCCTTCCTCTCTCTCTCTCCTGTTCCTCCTTCTCCTTGTTCTCCTCCTCCTCCTCCTCCTCCTCCTCCTCCTCCTCCTCCTCTTGTATCCACCTCCTACTCCTCATCATCTATCGATCTCTTCCTCCAAATATTTATCCTCCTCGTTCTGTCCCCACATCTCTCCTGTTCCTTCGCTCACTTCCTCCTTTCTCCTCACTGCTGCTGCCCAGCATTTATGCGAACCTCGCGCAGCGAAGGGGGATCCATAATCCCGTCCACACCGCCAGCACGGCCTGCGGCAGTGCCAACATTGCCGCCCTTTCCGGTCCTTGTCCAGCTTGGTGAAGCCGTTGCCCTCTGCAGTGCAGCCCGGAGTGTCGGCCTTGGAGTGCGGGAGGAGCGAGGGGGAGAACATCGGAAGACAATCATGAAGAGTCGAAGGGGGAGGAGGGTTCAGTGCCGTCGAGGGTGCCCGCCTTGGGGTACCAATAAATGAGCTTCTTCTTGCCTGGGAAGCTGTCCATTGAGACCTGATTCCTGGAGTCGTCCTCGAGCACGAACAAGGGGAACACGACGCCGCCCTTGACGCCGCCGGGTATCTCCTGCAGCTCGCGCGTCAGCGGCTTCGGCTTGGCCTTGGCCTGCGGCTTGGCCTGCGGCTTGGCCTGCGGCTTGGCCTGCGTCTTGGCCTCCGGCTTGGACTTCGGCTGGGCGTCCGGCTTGGCCGGCGTCTTCCCTCCACCCTTCGGAGTCGCCGCCGCCTGTCCAGAAGGGAACCCAAGGGACACCCATGCGGATGACCGGATAAGGGGTGCAGGGGAAGAGGGGGCAGGGACGGACGAGAGTTGCGGATAGGGAGGAGGACGAGGAGGAGGAGGAGGACGAGGAGGAGGAGGAGGAGGAGGAGGAGGGGGAGAAGGAGGAGGAAGGGGGGGAGGCAGAGTGACCAATGGGGGGCGGAGGCAGCGGGCGAGGAATGGTTGGGAGGGCGGCGTGGGGAGGGCGACCCTGGGAAGGGAGACGGTGGGGAGGCAGCAAGGATGAGAGAACCATAGGGGGGAGGCCTCCTGATGTGGACCGCTCTGCCGGGCCGACCCTGGGCCATCCAACCATGCCCCATCGTTCCTCCTCCCAGCTCCTCCAGCTCCTCGATCTCTTCATCCTCCTTCTCTCCTCGTTCTCCTCGTCCTCTCCCCCTCCTTCTTCGCCCCCTTCACCGCCATCGGCATCCACCTGTTGCTCGTCGTGCTCGTTCATCTCTTCTTCCTTTCCGATTCCTTCCCCTCCTTTTTCTCGCCCTCATCGGTGCCCACGTGTGACCCTCGTTCTCATCCCGCTTCCTCCGTGGCCTCCTTCTGGTCCTCATTCCCCCCTTCGTCACCATTGTCTTGTCACCATACACCATCACTGCCACCAACGCCAGGCTCTTCATCCTCGTCCTGAACATGATATCCGTTCCGTTCCCCTTCTTCCTCCTTCAAGTCCTCCACTTCTGTCCTGTCTTCTTCGTCTGGAACAGGGACCGACCGTCCTGGCATTCGTATGGGCCTGTACGGTTTCTCCAACAGCAAGCGCCCTCATAACAAGGACGATCTTCCTATGACATGAAGCCGATGTCTTCAAACAAGACAGCCTCGTACACGTTATTGCACTTCTCTTCGGTGGGCCTACATCAGCAAGCCAGGACGCTTCGCCACTGCTTGATCGCCCTCACCCTCCTCACTCTCCCCCCTCCACCTCCTCCTCCACCTCCTGGCGCGGCGACCCACGGTCAGTGCCACAAACCGCCCACTGACCGCGGCAAGCTGCTGCAGGATGACGAGCAGCTCTGCCCCCCTCCGCCGCCCCATACCTCCGACGTCATTTTTTTATGGCACGGATCCTCGGTGGTCTCGACGCTTTTTCCTGAAGCCAACTGTTCGGCCGGAGCCGTCATGTTAGGGTCTCGGGGGTCAGTTCTTCGTCCAGAGGGTAAGGGCTTCCAGAAGCAGAAACATGCCAAACAACATCGTCGCGATTTCATCCCAACTCGAAGGGGTCTGGGTCAGAGGCGGTGCCAAGTAGGACGAAGCCGCAGAGGAGGCGGAGGCTGCGGCCAGGACGCGGCCGGGGAAGAAAGGCCAGGGGCGGCTGCGTTCCAGACCCGGAGGAGACGGTACGGAGGAGAAGGAGGCGGAGGCAAAGGGAGAGGAGGAGAAGGAGGATGAGGATGAGAAGGAGGAGGATGAGGAGGAGGAATAGGAGGAGGGGAAGCGGAGGAGGAGGAGGAGGACGACGACGACGACGAGGACGAGGAGGAAGAAGAGGAGGAGGAGGAGGAGGAGGAGGAGGAGGAGAAGAAGGGCAGGCTCGTCGCTCCAGGCCCGGAGGAGACGGTCAGGAGGAGGAGGAAGAGGTGGAGGCGGAGAGGAGGAGGAGGAGGCGGAGGAGGAGGAGGAGGAGGCGGAGGCGGAGAGGAGGAGGAGACGGTCAGGAGGAGACGGCCAGGCGGAGGCGGAGGCGGAGGCGGAGGCGGAGGCGGAGGAGGAGGAGGAGGAGGAGGAGGAGGAGAGGAGACGGTGAGGAGGAGGCGAGGAGGAGGAGGCGGAGGAGACGGTCAGGAGGAGAGGAGGCCGAGGCGGAGGAGGAGGAGGCCAGACCTCAGCCGCGAAGGCCTCCATGGACGAGTTCTGAAGGCGCCGCTGGGGGAGGGCGGCAGGCGGCGGCTGCCTCTCTCGAGGCCCGTGCCGCTGTCGCTCTCCGCCTCCTCCGCCCTGCCTCCCCGGAGCCCCCCGGTGGCCTCCTTCGCTGGCGGCTTCGCCGCAGCGAGCGCCGCCGGGTTCGGGCGCGGCGGGGCCCAGCCGGACTCCAGCAGCGAGTCGACGACGATGCTGCCGTCGTCGAGCCGCTCGGGGAGGCCGACGGCCTGGTTTGAGGAGGGAGGGGGGGCAGGAATGAGGAGGGGAGAGAGTAGCGAAGAGGACGAGGTGGAGAGAAGCTGACGAGGAAAGAGGAAGAGGACGAAGAGGAGGAGGAGGAGGAGGAGGAGGAGGAGCGCACAGGCTGACCGACGAGAAGAGGGCAGGCGGACAAGAAAGAGACGAGACGAGGGCAAACCGCAGACCAGGTCCGACTGGGGCGGCAGCAGGCGGCGGCAGCTGGGGGTCGGGCCTCGATCACCGTCCTCTGGACGTGAGAGCAGCCCGCGCTCCCGCATGTCTGCGGGCGATGACACGAACACTAGACCTAAAGAGAGACAGGAGACAGTCGGGCCCGAAGCGGTCCTGGGACCTCAGGGTATTGTACGCAGACAGTAAAACGTCATGGACCAGGAGGGCCGATAAAAGCTCATTACTATTTATGGGGGGGGTCTCGTGGATAAAGAAATGTTGAACCCTAGACCATGCTCTGTACGAAGAGGGGAGAGAGGGAAGGGCGTCCTTCAGCACTTCAAGAGCAGCAGGGCAGTGGAGATAGTGGTCGACCGCATCCCCGAACATCGCCATACAACCGAACCTGCAGCACATAGTTCCATTTCGAAATCGTCTCGTGGTCGGCCACGCGTTACACACACTCTTGATCAGGGAGGTGGAAGCGAACGGGCCCACCTTCTTCGTTAGCATATTGATCAGCAAGAACATCCGATCGGCCACCTTCTCCGGAGCACCTGGCCAAAAATACAGGATACGACGGTGCAGCAGGGGAGGGACAGGCTGGCCAGGGGAACGTGATCTCAACAAGGACGACATCTTTTTCTGCACATCATCACAATCTGGGTCCGCCAGTCGGGGGGCAATCGCAGACAACTGGGTGAAATTCACAATCCAGGTCATGGTAACCGAGCCGTTCAACCAATTCTTCATTCGTGTCACAGCCAAGACATCGCAATCATATTCAGAGATACTGTGAAATCTGGCAGCTATACTAGGGAAAACGGAACTTCTCAAAGCGGCACGGAACAACGCGGCCCTATTTTCACATGAAATGTCTCGAGGTACCGAATCGAATCCCAAAGAGCCCAGGTTCTTTAGTAATGCCGTCGATATCGAATGCCGCGGAGCAGCAGTCAGTCGCTGAAGGGCAACGTGTTCAGTGTCATACACTCTGGTGTCGGCCATGTAGAACTGGCAGATATGGGACAAGACAGGGTGCGCCAGCATGTTGTACGCGCGAATATTCTGCGCCAGGGATAATTTCAGCTCTCTGATATGGGCTACTCGTTCCAGGAGCTTACGACAGGGGGCACGCCATGATTCAGCACAACCCTCTGGACCAAGAAATACGCCCAAGTACTTAGCGTGGGGGCCAATCCGTACCGCGTCCACGGGGATGTCAAGGTCGCGCAACAGCTGCTTGGCCATCTCAATGTCCATGTCGAGCGCGATGACCACCCAACATTTCCCCGTGTGGAGCTTCAGGCCTGTGACGATGCCAGTGTCGCCCATCCAGGTCAGAACCATAGGTATAGTAAGGCGAAGGTTTCCCGTCGCAATGCCGATGTCGTCAGCACACGCAAGAGGGAGCCCAGGGTGCGGGCGGAGTCGCCGTTGTAGGCCTCGAACGACTGGATCGAAGATTATCACGAATATCAAAGCTGAGAGTGGGCATCCTTGCTTCATTCCTCGGGTGACAGTGAAGCCAGAGAATCTTGAGCCAGCGAACAAAATGTCAACATATATGTCGTCGTACAATGATCTGACCGCACGAACGATGTGCCTGGGAACGCCCATGGCTTCCAAGACCCCGAAGATCCAGGAGTGCAACACACTCGGGAACGCAGCGGCGATGTCCAGGAGCATGAACCCTGGGAACTCGAGGCCCCGATGGCAGGCCCACTCCAGAACCCAGGACTCCAACTCAATCACGTTATCAAGCATATTACGTTTCTTGATGAACCCGCGCTGGCACTCCGCCACGGAGAACCTGGCCTGGATCTGGAACGGGTCGGCCAGGGCAGCGGAGACGAGCTTGTTGTCTGTGTTGCTCAGAGTGAGGGTCCTAGTCTGACGGGCCTCGAGAACAGTCCTAGGACCAGAATCGCTCACTTCAACCTTGGGAGGGAACACGAGCTGACCGAAGTTGAATCCAGAAGGTGGGCGGGCTCCACGAAGTAGAGCACGATAGGCCGCATACAGGGCCGACAAAACGGTTTCTCCCCCGTTTTTCCACCCGCTATATGGCACCCCGTCAGGTCCTGCAGCAGAGTCTTTACGGTGAACCACGATAGAGCGAAACTCATGTTCCATGAGTTCCCATTGGATACCAGGAGAGACCGATTGAATCTCACTCCGAAGGGCAGCAAGCACCGCAGGATCAGGCTCAGGGAGAACACCAGGACACCGATGAACTTCACCCCAAAAGTTAGCTAGGTTGCGGGCACTCTGTTCGATACTGGCGGGGGCCTCGTCCACTGGGTCAGCCACCGAGAAGATCGCAAGCTTCCGACGTTTTACCGACCACGACCGACATATAGCTTGGAGCCTGGCACGACGAGCCTCATCGATTCTCCCAAGAGAGTAGGAGGAGGAGGAGGAGGAGGAGGAGGAGGAGGAGGAGGTGGAAGACAATAAGGAGGAGGAGGAAGAGGAGAAGGAAGAGGAGGAGGAGGAGGAGAAAGGAGGAGAAAGGAGGATGATCCGCCATCGTGCCCTGAGGCACGAGTCCCTTGAGCCTCAGTCCTCAATCCTGAAGACTATTTAACAGGCCCGGGCCCCACATTCCAAAATCTCCTAGGGCTTGCCGCGTCTTCCCACATGACTTTTCGGGCCCACGAGGGCCCCAAGACGGGCCAAGAGAGCCCCAAGAGGCCCCCGAGACGGTCCGAGAGAGCTCCGCATCGCCAAGCGATCGGTCCAAGACGCTCAAGATGGTCTGAAGACAGTGAATGAGACGGCCAAGACGCCCCCCAAGAGGCCTCCCAAGAGGCGCAGCTCAGTTCAAATGCTGTTGTAAGACAGCGTAGATCTGTAGCCTGTACGACGTTTCGGCCTCACGGCGTTCAACACGGCCCCAGAGGCCCAACAGCTCCCCACGAGGGCCCCGACGGACCACGAGGGCCCCAAGAGGCCCCCAAGAGGCACCCCTGACGGCCTAAGAGAGCTCCCAAAACGGTCCGAAACAGGGCCCGAGAGCGGGAGCCCGACGCGACAATTCGAGCTCTCCGCCCGCAGATGCCGCGAGGGGGCCCCGAGAGGCCCCCGAGAGGCCCCGAGAGGCCCCTAAAGAAGCCCCCGAGACGCCCCAAGAGACCCCAAACCGGCCCTCAAGAGGCTTCAAAACTGCCTCCAAGGGGCCCCCAAGAGGCCCCCCACGACACCCCAACGAACATCCAAGAGGCCCATGACTCACACTCCAGGTACGGTGGCGGGATGGGCAGAAGGCCATTCGATAAAGGAAGGGGACGAGAAACGAGGAACATTGACTGACAAAGGAATGGACGGACAAAAAGGACACATCAACAAACAATAACGAAGAGGATGCGGACAAAAGAGGAACACTAGAAGGGATGATGGGAGGAAAGGATAATACAAAGGAGGGCGCTGCCTTGCGGGACCAGACCCAGAGCTCGCGCTCCTTGGGGCAGCCCGAAGCTAAATGGGAAACGTGCGGCTCTTCGTGTCCTCCTCCTCGTCCTCCTGGACCCCATCATTGTCCCCATCCTCGCCCTTTCCCTCGTGATCGTTTCCCCCCTCGCGGCCCTTCGTGTTGTTTTTTTGTTTTCCTCCTCCTCCTCCTCCACCTCCTCCTTCATTTGCTGGTACTCCAGAAAGCACTCGTTCTTGCAGTCTGGTGCCGCCAGGGAATTTGAACGAAACAGGGCTCGTCAGACCTCAAGCGGAACACCAAGCCAGCACGACGGGGCAAATATTCACAGGATGCACCTCTCAGGCTTCTCCATCGCGCGCTTGCGGGCCCGCCCCACCCCCAGGGTCATGCCATCACTGGGGACCACCGTGGTTGATGCGCCACGGCCGGGCGAGGGCCGTGGCTTTCGGCCATGACAGTTGACCGCGGCGAAAACAGCGAACCTGCACGATTTAACTTCGGGGATGGGCAAAACCCGATCTAGTAGAACGTGGTTTAGTCAAAACGACCTCGGGCCCACACCTGGCGGGGGCAAGCCCTCTCGAGAACCGAAAACGGACTGTGCTGACGAGCGCGCGCGAGACAAGACCAGCCTGGAACACCCGCGTGGGCAGCCGTGGCCGCCCAGGCGCGGCGCCACCCAGAAGGGAGGACGCGCTCCACGGGCCGAGCCGCAGATGCAATCGAAGGCGGGAGGGCGCGGCGCCTCGATGACCTCTGAAGGGGCCGTGGGACACACACAAACACACACACACACACACACACGCACGCACGCACGCACGCACGCACACGCACGCACGCACGCACGCACGCACGCACGCACGCACGCACGCACGCACGCACGCACGCACGCACGCACGCACGCACGCACGCACACACACACACACACACACACACACACACACACACACACACACACACACACGCACGCACGCACGCACGCACGCACGCACGCACGCACGCACGCACGCACGCACGCACGCACGCACGCACGCACGCACGCACGCACGCACGCACGCACGCACGCACGCACGCACGCACGCACGCACGCACGCACGCACGCACGCACGCACGCACGCACGCACGCACGCACGCACGCACGCACACACACACACACACACACACACACACACACACACACACACACACACACACACACACACACACACACACACACACACACACAACAGGATCCGACAGATTTTCCCATATTTTCTGTGCTTCTGTCGTCCCCCCCACTGCCGATATTTTCGTATATTTTCTGGGGAATCGACGGTTAATTGTGTCTGTGCGTTTCTTTCCCTTCTGAACCTCGAGGGGGGGCGCCTAAAACTTTTTGCGCAACCTATGCGCCGCCGGAATCGGCCATGCCATACAACGCTGGTTTGTTTTAGTCCATGGGGGAGGGGGGGATTCCTGGACCAGGTTCGAGTGGCACTCGCGGGCAGGCGGCGGGGGTTGGCAAGTTCTGTGGCGGCCTCACGACACTGCCCAAGCACGTCTGGAAGCAAGAAGCTGACCTGCCGAACCTCGACCTCCACGCTGGAGCCCCTGACATATGGCGATTTGATAGATCGTGCGCTGCTCATCGAAGGGCCGAATATGTCTCCAATGTCTTGCCCGCTGGGAAGAGACCTCTACGGCGTGGGCCGAAAAAAAACAGATCCCGTGACCGACGCCTGGCAGTCGGCATGGATGTCTGCGCACTCATTGAAGCGAGCGGGGCCCCACCACGCGCGCCTGCGATGCTGAATGGGTCCGCCATGTCCATCCAGCCTATGAAACACTCTGGCGGCGTCTCCTCGGAAGTGGGCCCCTATGGCAGCTCCGTCGAGGCCCCCTCCTTCGGCGCGTTCGACGGCCGCCCGGCCCGCTCGGGCCAACGGACCGACTGGGGCCGCGCGGGTTCGACACAGCAACCACCCATGAGAACTGTGATGGGGCAAGGAACATCGAACTCATCCATGTTGCATGCCCTGTTGGCGCCCTGTGAAATGTCACCCTCGGGCGGGGGCTTCTGGACCTCGGGGGCGTGGAGCCAGAGGCGGGCCATTGTTCCTGGCGGCGCCCACCATCGCCTGACCTACTTGCTCTGGAGCTGGACCCCCGCGCGGGCGGAGTCGCGGCCAGTGGCGGGCGGAGTCGCGCAGGCCGCGTGGCCTGCGGGCTGGATCCACCTTGCGCCCTCTCTTCCGCAGGATGTGGCCGGTAGGGGTAGTCCCGCGCATCGGATTGAACGGAATTCGCCTACCAGAGCAACCCCGCGCGACGCAGCTCCAAAGCGCACAAAACGGTTGCCCCCAGATCTCGGCGCGGAATTGCCCGGGTTCTGGGGTGGAGGTCTTCGCCCAGGCCCTCGGCGCGCGCGTCTGCGCGCGGGGTGCGCGCCTGTGTTTTGGGCGACGTTGGCAACCTGCGCACGCGCAAACGTTGGCGGCGACTCGAAAGTCGGCCTCGAGCTCGCGGCCAGAGATCATCTCGGCGGGGCCCGAGAACTTCTCACCGACGCGCCCCCTCCAAAACAAGAAACCCGTCGAGTGACTTCCATCGCGGCGGGCCCGGCCAGCGTCCGCGGGCGCAGAATCGGGGGGGCGAGATCTGCTCGAACCGCTGCTCGCCGAGCCGGGTCGGTAGTTTGACGGGGGGCGCCGCGCAGAAATGCCCGCGCCGCGTTGAAACCACTTCCCGCTCGCGACAGCGGAGGGCCGGGCTTTTTCGAGCGCGCGGGGCTCCAGCGGAGAGTCGGCCGGCCCGCGCCTGTCCAGCTGCCTCCCCGAACAGAGCTACTATAGGGGCCTTCGAAGCTGACGGGCCGCTGCGCGCGATGATCACGATATCGAAGAGGCGCCGCATGGCCTCCAGGGACGCGCCCGAAGGCCAGGCAAGGTGCCCGGGCTGACGCCCGCCCGCCGGCGTCGCGAAAGGCTCGAAGCCCGAAGACGCCCTCCGAAGCTGGTGTGCCGCGAAGCCCCGGGGGGGCCCGCAGCCTGCCCGGAGCAGGTCTCCCAAGGGAACTCTCTACTCCGAGGTGCCCCGAGACGCGTTGCCCCAAGTATCGCCGCGCTGCCCCTGGGCGCGCACTGCCAGACGTGGCGACCTTCACCAGTCGACGTGCTCCACCGCATCCTCGACGCATGTTGATTGGGCTGCGGGCTCGTCTAGCTCTTCCCACCGTGGCTCCCTCGCGCCATTCCTCCCGCGCCCTGCAACTATCCTTCATCCCGCAGCGCGAATGCTATTTCAGCAGCAGCGTCACGACGGTAATCCACGCGCCAATTGCCCCGAGGATTGGCCCTTCGCGCCGGGGCTGAGCGCCGGCGCGACCAGCTCGCGACAGAACGCGCGGCATAATAGCAAACTATCTGGGCCGCGGCGCGCGCCGCGCCCCCCCCCCGCCCTCCAGCACTGCCATTCTGATGCTCGCAGACCACTGCGGTGCTTGCAGGCCGCGCTCACATTCGCGGCCTAGTGCGGCGCTCGCAGGTTATTGTCGCACGCGCAGGGCCCGGTAGTTGTTGCGCGCGCGGAGCTCACTCGGCACTCTGGCGCCAGCGGGCCCGCGCGAGAGGCGCCGGCGGGCCCGCGCGAGCAGCGGCAGTGGCAGCGGCAGCAGAAGTAGCGGCAACAGTCGCAAACATAAGAACGAGAAGGAGGAGAAGCAGGAGTAGGAATTGGCGAGGGGAACGGGGTGTCCATGTAATCGTCGTCGCGGTTGCCCCGTGGGCGCGGTGATATTTGTTGCGCTTGTCGCAATGATAATCGTCGTCGTCGTCGTCGAAATCGCCGCGGTCGTCGTGGTCATTTTGGTCGTTGCGATCGTCGTCGTCGGCGCGTGGTCGTCGCTGTCACCATCGTCGCGACAGTCGCAGTCGTCGTCGATCGTCGTCGTAGTCATCGTGCTCGTCGTCGCGGTCGCCATCGTGGTCGTCGTCGCGTGGTCGTCGGGATCGGAGTCGTAGTCGTCGTTGTGGTTGGCGCTGGATGCCTGAATTCGGTTGTCGTCGTCGTCGCGATCGTCGTTGCGATTGTTGTAGTTGCTATCGTCGTCGCAGTTGTAGATCGTGGGCGGCGGTATTATTCCAGCATTCTGCGCGCCGTGGTTGATGCGGCTGTCGCGGCGAACGCAGGCGCTGTCGCGCGCGCAAGCGCTGCGGCGCACGCGCGCGCCGCGCGTCGGGAATAGGCGGCGAGGTGCATAGTTGAATCGACGTTCGCGCTGCGCTTCGGTTCCAGAGGCCACGAAAGCAGGGCGCCGCAGCGCACTCGACTGCGCGGCGCAGGCGCCACGCAGCGGCAGCGAACGCCAGCGCAAATAATGCTCGAAGGAGAGCGCGGAGGGCGCGAGCGCTGCAGCGCCGCGCGACGGTTCGCGCGCGCGCTGCGCAGTGCATGGGCGACGCGGCGCGCGCGGCTGCGCGCGGCGGCGCGCGCAGCGCTGCGGCCGCGGTGCTTGCTCATCTGCGCAGAGGCGCCGCGGTGCTGGAGCCGCGCGGCGCAGGGGGGCGCTGCGCCGCGCCCCCCCCGCCCCCGCGACCCCCATTTGGCGCGCGCTGCGGCCGCGAATTTATGGGCGAGGTCGAATTCCGAATTCGCAGCGGCGCTTCCGCAGAGTCCTGAGCGGGCCTCCTCTGGCAGAGGAGTCGCATATCTAGCCGAACTCCGAGACTGATAAGGCTGACCTCGGCGAACGCAGACCCCCCGCCCCTTCGAGGTCTGGCTCGCCCACGAGATGCGCGCGCCATCGCTGGGGAGCGGGCCCTGGGGAATCAGCGGCGGCGGGGGGGGGCTCGCGCGCGAAAAGCTGGCCCCCCCAAGCGCCGGCGGGGCGCGGCGTCTGAAACGTTTGTCGCTGTTCGACCAAGGCGTGGGACTTCAAGGTGGGCATCGTGTTTTTGCTGGCGCATGCAGAGCAGCTTGCCTGCCATCGCTAGCTGGCGCTCTGTGCTCTGTCCCTGAAGGGCGGCGGAAGCCCTCGAGCTGGGCGGGCGCGTCGTGGCGCGCGTTGCTTCGTTGTGCGCTGGCGGGAGTTGGGGCCTCAGCTGGGATTGCTTGGCGCGAAGAAATTTGCCTGGGCCCGCGCGCCTTCGGTCGCGCTGCTCGAGGCCTCGCGAACTGGCCCGCGCGACGAAACTCATGCATCCGCATCCGCGGCGGGACTCATGAACCGAAGCGCCAGCACTGGGCCGGCAATGTAGGGATCTGTGGTCGCCCTGCCATCCCCGATGACGCGCGCGTGGACATTGGGCGCGTGACCCGTACTTCAGGGCCTGAGTAATTCACGATGCATCTCGGCACGCACGTGGAAACGACCACCCACGTCGATGAGGGATTTCGGAGTGCGAGACATGAGACTCCAGCGCGAGGCCACTCCACATTCCCTCTACCAGCCCCACTGATGTCGACCCAGTCGTTGCAATTTACGCTGACAGCCCCAGTGCCTTCAGTTCTGAGGGCACGCACGCTGCGCCCAGAGGGGGCCAGCCGACTTGTGGACGCGGAAGCTTGCCGAGAATCTACACGTCAACAAACTAAAATGCAAATTCCCCCCCCCCGCCCGAATATCGCCCGAGAGAAGCGACCGAACAGGGCCCCCAGTAGCTAGCCCACCCCTCGAGATTCATGGCACGCTGGGCCTCTGGGACCTGCGAGCGTCTGGGCCGATGCTCCGCGCACCGCGGATCTCGGCGCAGAACCTAAGACATTGCGCGCCGCGCCCCAGGATGAGGCGTTGTTCGCCATGAGAAAATTCGCCGCCCGTCACCCACGCGGCCGCGGAGGCGGCGGCCGCGCTGGGCGCCATAACGCAAGGCTCGCGCGCATCAGGTCCATGCAAAGACCTGGGGCGCCAACCGCCGGCTGACGCCTCCGCCGCCGCGGGCGGCCGCTGATTCAGATCATCCTGCGGCCTCTGCTCCGCCGGCTGTCCACGTCGATACTGGTGCTGTTTCAGCTGCTGCTGGAAAAAGTTGCTGACTTGACGCCGCGATGATTGTGAGCTCTGAAAATGTGCGGGACAAGTCGACCTGCTTGTCTGGGGCGGGGGCGCCCGCCCGCTACTAAAACGCTGCCATCATATGAATGCACAACTGGAGCATGTGCGAAGTCGTTCGGAACATCGGTGGCCTGCCCAAGACCCACCTGCGCCTTTTCGTCCTCTACACTATAAGCCTCGCCTCCACAATGGCCTCGAATTTTTTGCGTGCGTGTCCCTCGTGCCCTTCGAGTTGCTGACGCGCGTTGCCCCCCATTGCCCGTGAAGGCGCGGAGCTGCCCCCCGGTCACTCCAACTGCTGCCGGGGCTTGGTGCGGCCGCCCGATGACGCCTGAAGTCGGGTAATAATTCGGCTGGCATGCAAATGTCGTCAAGAACTTGGTGACTCATGTCCACCGCCTACTTTGCAAATTCGCCATACTTTCCAAGCTTACTCATGGTGCCATCTGCCAGCTGACGTATCTGTAGATGTATATGCTGACCCGAAACGGAAACTGGCTGTGGCGAGCCGCTTGCCCCGTTGAACTCCATGGCTGCCTCTGCTGCGGCCGTCGCAGCTCCTGTAACTCCTCCAAGCCCTGATGGGCGATCACCTCGCCCCTACTGCCTTTGACCCCCTGGCTGAGCACCAGGGGTCCACATTGGGTTTGGGCTCCACGACGTCTGCGTCTCTTGGCTGCTTTCGTTTCCGAACTGTCCCCTGACATCTCTTCCTTGACTGAGACGTACCGCGGCGCCAACGCCAAAAGAGGTTCCACGACACCGACGTGTCACAGCACTTGCAGGTACCGCAAGACCGCACGAAAATGTGCCACGTCAAAGTTGTTCCAATACATCGCGTATCTGAATGTACGTGGGAATCGGGGCCAAAGGTCACGCCGTCCATCTTGAGCCAACATGGCTTGAGCCATGCTGCGCACCTCAAACCCCTGCCACTGTTGTTGCTGTCCCTCCTGCCCCTCTCCCCCCTTCTCTCCTCATTCGAAACATCGCACAACAACATAAACAGAAACTTCCTGAGGTCCGCGCGTATCCCTTGGATGGGCGCTGGGCAACCTTCCCTGGCGCGCGGAGCGCGGCGTGCCAGGGCGGCGACATAGGGGCGGCCAGAGGGGCCCAACGCACATACAAGAAATCCGCGTAAACCTTCGAAATTGTGCTTCTGCCGTTTGTTTTCCTTCTGCTCTTCACTCCTGGCCTGCTCCCCCTCCGGCTGAGCAGGGATGCTCAGCGATCTTCCGCACGATCCTGGTCCTCCTCCTCCTGGTAGTCCTGGTCCTCCTCCTCCTCCTGTTCCTTATCCTCCTCATCCTCATACTCATCCTGTCCTCTGCCTCCTCCTCCCCGCGCGCCTCTCCTTCGGCCCCCTCCCTAAAAAGGGGAGGGGGGGGGCGTGGCGGAACTCACATTCCCCGCCGCAGTTTCCGCCCAACGCTGAGCTCCAGCTCCGCGCCCACCCTGGGCGCATTCCCCGCGTGGAGGGTGTAGTCCAATGTCTGGTGCTTTTCGGGGATGTACATGTACAGCCTCTGTCCCCCTCCTCGCCCACCTCCTCCTCCTCCTCCTCCTCCTCCTCCTCCTCCTCCTCCTCCTCTTCTCCATTCTCTTCCTCCTTCATCCTCCTCCTCCTCTTCTTCCTCCTCGTCCCCCTCTTCGCCCTCGCTCTCCTCGCCGGCGGCGCCCTCCTCGCGTATCCCCTGTCATCCTTCCTGGCCCTCCTCCATCAAGCCCACCGCCATCTCTGAATCAATCTGAGCCTCCTCCTCCTCCTCCTCCTCCTCCTCCTCCCTCTCCTCCCTCTCCTCCTCCTCCTCCTCCTCCTCCTCCCCCTCCTCCTCCTCCTTCTCCTTCTTCTCCTCCTCCTCCTCCTGCTCCTCCTCCTCCCCTCCTCCTCCCCCGCCTCCTCCTCTGCGCGGGGGGGCCTCTCCCTGTCCGTCCAGTACCTGTCCGTCTTGAACTTGAAGTCGTGGGCCACGGGCCACGGGAACCAGTAGGGGTAGAGGAAGTCGGGCATGGGCCGGCGCGTCACGAACGCCGCCTCGAAGACCTTCTCCCCGCCCCGCACCGCGGGCACGCCGGGCACGTTCTGCCTCCGGTGGATGTCCGTGGCCACCTCCCCGGGCGTGAGGCACGCCACGCTGACGTTCAGCCTGGCCAGGCGCGTGCGGAGGGACCGCGCCATGAGGTAGTTGGCGAGCTTGCTCGCGGAGTACATCTCCTTCCCGACGACGACGACAGCAGCGACAACGACGACGACGACCACGACGGCGACGACGACGCCGACGATGACGAGCGCATCTCCTTCCCGAAGCCCTCCTTGATGGGGACGTCTTTCCTGGCCGAGGCGGGCGGATGAAGAGCAGGATCGGGGAGGACGAGAGGGGGTGGGTGGGCGGAGGGGCTGCGAGGGGAGTGCGAAAGCTGCTGTGAGGGGAGTGCGAAAGCTGCTGCGAGGGGAGTGCGAAAGCTGCTGCGCTCAGCCAGTTTCGGCCCCCGCATGGTGAGGGACGCAAGGCGGCGGGGGGCTGACCCCCTCCACTCGAATGGTCCTGGGCGGGTTCTCAGGCTTCGGGTCTTTCCCCCACCAGAGCATCAGGAAGTTCGGGTTCGACCACCACACGGTGACGCTCGAGACCACCACGACCGTTGAGCTGGGCGCCAGGTACCTGCTCAGGAAGACGGGGGAGATGATGATGAAGACGAGCGGAGGAGAAATATCATCAGGAGGAGGATAAGAGTCTAAGAGAAAGGCGCGATGCGGACTGAGGAGGATGAGGAGGAATGGACGGAAGCGGAGGAGGAGGAGCATTAGCAGCAGCGAGTACGGAGCCAACAGCATGGTGAGAAGAAAATGTCCCAGATGATTGGCAGTGTACACCTTGCTGTGCCCATATTTCGAAAAGACCTCGTTCTTGTCGATGGCGGCTAACCCCATTTTTTTCAGGCGCTTGTCGGAGAAGGACTGGCCGTCCTGGCTGTACCCGGCATTGAGGACGAGGTAGTCTATTCGAGGGAACGTGCTCGCCGCTTGCCTGGCAAAGGCGGTGACGCTGTCGAAATCCGTCAGGTCCAGGCCCAGCCCAGAAGCAAGCCCCCTGCCCCTCGTCTTCCTTCTCACCTTTGGGGGCCCAGAATCGGGGAGACGTGGGACTCGGCTTCGAGGGACTCGGGTTGGCCTTACGGGGCCGTCAGGAAAATGACGAGATGCAATATGAAATTTGATTCGAAAGCTCCCGCTGCACACATCCCACACCAAAAAACTGGACTGTCAAACTTCAAGACGGGCGGGTCACGACAAGTCGGGAAAACCGGAGTCCCAGCGAACTCGGGTCTGACGTTGCCCCCCGACAGCAGGGATACCGACACGGCTACTTGCCGGACGTCTCTCACGGTGCGTTCTGTCTTGGCTGCCGCGAATCCAGCCGCAGCGACGGTGGGCCCGAGGGCGTCACGAAAAAGAAAAGGCGAGCACGAGGGGGAAGGCCTCTCAGCATCGGTGCAGCGGCGGGCGCGACCGGGCCCCGGGTGGGGGGCCCGGCACAGTGACAAGCCAGCGACAACCAACACGAGCGAGCCAGGGGGCGGCGCTCTGGAAAAAACATGGTCTGAGAGAGCCAGGCCTCGGGGCGCGCACGCGTACGAGCACATCACATCCGATCCTCCATGCACGCCCGAAGGCTCGGCAGCATCACCCCTCGCGCGCAAGCCACGTACAGAAACCAGCCTGTATGCTCGATGTCTCCGATCAGATTCCACTCAACAGGCGACCCCGGCCCCCTCCTGGGTTCCATCCTAGTCAGTCTTTCGGGCTGCGACCAGTCCAGCCGCACGAGCAGGCAGCACATGCGACGCGAAGTCGTCGACGTCGACGCCGTCGGTACCGGTGCGTGTTCCTCCCCTGGGCCTTCTCCGCGGCCTCCGCGGCGCTGGAGTTCGAGCGCCCCGTGATCAGCACGTCGGCGTCCAGGCCGTGGAACCTGGTCGCGGCGTGGAAGCCGCAGCCCTGGCCGGGGGAGCCCACGGCTCGGGAGTCTGCGTCGCTTGGACGCGGCCAGCGGTCCCGAAGCGGGGGGGGGGGCCAGCGCACGGGCCGGCGGAGAGCTGCACGCAGCTCGGTCGAGGGTCGGCACGAGCGGCGGACACGTCCACGTCCCCTTCCTCGCGGCCTCGGCTCTGGGACGCGACGCCGTCGAGGCGCGGTCGCACGGGGGCGTTCCGCGAGGGGCACCCACGAACAAGACCAAGTACCTAAGGCCAGGTCGGGCATGTCCTCCTTCAGGCGACGAATATTGGGAGAAACAAATGTTAAAAAAGGGTCCAACAAACCAAACAAACAATCCACAATCGTAGGGAAATCGTCCCCCGACGATTTCCTTCTGATTATCGTTGGATCCTCCCTCTGTAGAGGGAGGCGCCCGACTTACAAAATCTATGGGGCCACAGCCCAGGGGCCAGCCCACGAGGCCCGCGGATCTGGACATTTGCTCCGCCCGCGAGGCCGCACTCGAGTTCCCAGCGCCTCCCGGCGCAGGAGGCACCAGACGCCGCCTATTGTGCGGGCCCCAAGACTACACACCACCACCACGTCGACTCCTCCTCCCTCCTCTGCCCTCGTATACTCCCTTCTCCTCTCCTGGGAGAGGGGTGGGGGCGAGAGGTGGTGGTGGTGCACATGTCTGGGCCCCGTGCGCCTGGCGGCGAGGGCCGACGGATCGGGGCCCACGAGGTCGCACTCGTTTCCCCGGCGCCTCCTGGCCTTGGAGGCGCCCGCGTCTATCGAGGAGGCCGCCCAGCTGCGCGCAGCAGTTCTCGTGATGACCCGCGGTGCCCCGACGTCTCCAGCATGCCTTTCTAGAGCACAGAACTTCAACAGCTGATGCTCGAGAACTACCCATCGGTCGGAAGAAGTAGGTAGAAACAGGAAGCATGAAGGCGTTGACAGTACAGTGGGTGTCCGCACGCCCCCCAAAGACAGAAACGGTGAAGCCACTCGATCGTTGAAGCAGGAAGGCGCTCACAAGCAGATGGGGAGATGGGACTCCACGAAGTTACCCACCTTCCACAGCGCTCCTGGCGTTTCGAGATACTGGAGATGCCTTTGTGAAGCTGCCGCGAATTTGGCCTCCTCCTCAGGATCGGCGCTCTCTGCTCCCGTCGGCCAAGTGTGGCGCGGCCCCGCCCCAGCTCGGGCCGCACACTTCTGGGGCCGAGCCGCCCTCGTCGTTGTCGCCCCCGTGCCTTCCGCCCCTCCCGCCCCTCTGGTCCTCCGCCCTCCTCTGGTCCAACCTGCTCCTCCCGCTCATCCCGCTCCACCTGCTGCTCCTCCTTCCTCGTCCTCCTTCTTCCTCCTCCTCCTCCTCCTCCTCCTCCTCCTCCTCCTCCTCTTGCTCCTGCTGGCCCTCCTGCCCATCCGCCACCTCCTCTTCCTCCTCCTCCACCTCCTCCGATGTACACAGCTGCCCTTCCTGCTTGCACCAACGCTTTTCCCGTCGGCGGCGAGGCAGGGGAAGTCTGCGCTGGCGGAAATGCCTTGACGGGGGTGCCGGTAGGGTAAATTGTTCCACCGTGCAAGAGGGGGAGCAGGAAGAGGACGCGACCGAAAGAGGGGGCGGAGGTAGCGAGGCTTGCATGAAAAAACACGATGGGATCATGCTTGCTCCTGCCCTCTCTCTTCTCGCCTCCGTCCTTCGCCCTGTCCTCCCCCCCTCCTCACCACTCCCTCCCCGAGGCCCCTGGCGCCTGTTGGCGTCGAGAAAACAAGGGGGTAGGGGGAGGGGGGAAGGCTTGTTAGAAGCAGGCCGCGTCTTAGAAGGCGCGGGCCCTCATCTGTAGACAAGGCCCGCGCCTTCTAAGAAGCAGGGGTGCTTGTAAGAAGCCTTCCCCCCTCACTCTACCCCCCCCCCCTGCGCGTGGTTGAGCCTGGGGCACACATCCCCTCCCGTCGTCCCGTCGTCTCCCTTGCTCTTCGAGCTGGGATGCCCATGGCGACAACGCAAACGAACACCGACCGAACCGACTGCGAAACCGAGACCGACGCAATAACGACACGACAACCGACCGAACAAAACCGGCCACAACCGACAGCGACGCCACCCCATCAACCGAACACTGGACACTCTTGCATTCACCTCCTCCTCCTCCTCCCTCCTCCCTCCACTCCACGCTGTGCTTGACGAAAAAACGCCACTTCACAAGCACCTGCCCCTCTCGCTCCGGCCCCTCCGCGGCTGATGCGAGACAACATGCGCCCCAGACGCCCGAAGTCCTTGGAAGCATTCGCCGTGAGAAACCACGACCAGAATTCTCGGCCCCGTCTTCATGCGGGATGGGCTGGGAGGCTGGGAAACAGGCACCACCACCGACATCGGGGTATGCCTCAACCGGCGGAAGCTGATCCTGGATGCTGGTGCTGGTGGCAACCCTTCGGCCGCCTGGGAAGCCCGAGCATCACCACCGCCGCCGAGATCAGGATCGCCTTCCCTCGGTGGAGGCACACCGCCCATCTTGGTGCTGGTGTCAACCTCCAAGCCGTCGCTGTGCTCGAGACCCAAACACCCCAGACGTCGTGAGCTTTTCATGGCGCGACCCCCAGAGGTCGGGGCCCATTCCCCGGGACCGGTTTCTGAGCCCGAGTCGTTTCCTGACGTCCTGAGGCCCGGCGAGGGCCTCCAGAATCCGAAGGTAGCGAAGAACGTCCCGTCGTGACTTGTTCATGACTCGAAGGGGGTCTGGGGACAGGCCGATCAGTGACAGCCGCGGGGGGCCCGGAGCACCCGCCGTGCCTCTCGGGGCGGCGGGGTGCGAGGCCCTGCGCCGCGCCTCCTCCGTGCACGTGTGCTCTCTAGCAGCGGCCTCGCGGTGGCCTCCGTGCTGGCCCCAGAGAGGTCCCCGGAGGAGCAGGGCCTCTCCAGCAGCCTCCGGGGGTCCCAGCGCGCCGCAGGCGCCCAGATATATGGGCCCTCCACTGCGAGGCGGGGACTTATCACTAGGTCGTGCCTGTCCCTCTACAGAAGGAATTTTCAAACATAGTGAAAAATAGTCTGGGAACATTTTTTTGAAATTGTTTGACAGCAAATTTGAATATGATTGGTGTATGTTTATTCTTTCGTCCAAAACCCTCTTGTAGGGGGACATGTCCGACCAAAATTTCTCATACAGCGGAGGCCAGTCCACAAGAAACCTTCCACAAGGAATCCAACCCTGAGACCTCCAGGACGTCCACTGACTTGTTGGTGTGGGAGCATCACGCCTTCCACAGCAGAGCCATGGAAACCCAAGAATCCCAGGGCACACAGGAGGCAAGCAAGGTGGTGTTTCGTGGCATGGGTTACCACGGTATCCACCGCCTGGGAACCGACGTCCTGGTGCTCCAGCGGGCGGTGGATGTGGATATATGCCGCCCCCCGGGGATCCAAATATATCAATGAGCCCGCCTCCCGAGGTCCCCGAAGATGGATCCTCCGGGCGGCGGTCATGTATAAATTCCCGCCGCCTCGGATCCACCTCCTGGCCGCAGGTCTTCTCTGCAGTCGGTCCCGCTGGTCAACCAGGCGGTGCCGCCCAGCGGGGTGGCCAGAAGGCTCCCTCCCTGAGGAGAGCAGCACAGACCCAGCAGCGTTTCACGGTGCAGTCGGACGTAGGCCTGAAGAACATCCCTCAAGAACATGAGACCCTCCGTCGGCCAAAACAAACAGAACATCCAAGGGTACCCTCCCCAGAATGCTCAAGAACATCCAGCACACACGAAACACATGAGGGCCTCCCTCCCCGAACTGATCTCGATCTTCTACCTCGGTCCGACGGTAGCCTCGAGGTGCGATGGAGCTCATCTTGGATCGCGATTGCGCCGTTCCTTCCCTCCTGCCCCCCCATCCCTCCCCTCATCCTTCGGGTGCGCCAGAGGAGCGGGGTGGGGAAGGGACGAGTCCGCGCATCACGGTCCGAGGGGCGTGCGGACGAGCGGGGGCGCGGGAGATGCACTTGAAACCGAAGAGCGGGCGCTGGCATCTGGGAGACGTACGGCCTGCCCAGAGGATGGGCGCACCGACAAAGCAGGGGGAGGCCCAAGCAGCAATGGGCCCCTTGCGTTTGTGCGCTGCTGACAGACATTTCAGCGTGGCCCCTCTGTTCCTCTCCTCCTCCTCCTCCTCCTCCTTCCTCCTCCTCCTCCTCCTCCTCCTCCTGGTCTTCCTCCTCCCGCCTGCTTTCCCCTCCCTCCGCAGCGTGGCGCCGTGAACTTGTCATTGCGTAACTTATTTATCTGCCAATGCGCCGTACGAGCGCTGGGCTTACCTGACTGACTGACTGCCTGCCATGATGCGGTCGGGAACTTTTGCTTAGCCTATCGCGGCGGCGGCCCTGGCGCCACGCGAGGCCGTGCAAGCGGATGGCACATCGCTCCGCTCCTGGGGCCAGGAGGCTTGGGACAGCTCGGGACGTTGATGTCTAGGGACTGGGACGTGGTTGATGCGAGCACAGCAAGCGACCACCACCACATCGAAGGCGCACCCTGAAAGATACTTTGGGCGTGCCAGCAGCCGTCAGAATACAGGCGGCCTTGAACGGACAGGACACGCGAGAGGACACAAGACCCTTCCGAGGGCCGCATCGCCATAGGAGTGTAAGAAGGCACGTATCGCGAGGCACAGGACACAAAGGTACCCTTGAGCTGGCAGGGTCGACCAACTAATCCGGGCCGACTGTACAAGAGCCGGCTCGGTGGTGGCTGTGGTCGATGCTGGCGCCCCAGGCAGCCAAAAAACGACCGGAACCACAACCAGAGTGCTCACGTCGAGGTCGGCGGGCTCTCCTCCCAGGGGCCCTCCTGAAAAATCCACTCGGCTGTGGTTGGAGGCTTTTGTGCTTGCGCCCAGAAGTTCAGCGCGTCGCGGCGAAGCACACGGTGGGCCAGAGCCCGTGGCGCGAGACGCGAAGCCCAAACTGCTGACCGCATCCTCCCCCGAGTTCTGAGTCGGGCGTGTCCCTCTGCAGGGGGAATATTCAAACATAGCCCACAGAAGAGCCTGGGGACGATTTTTCCCCATATCCTAAGGATTGGGGTTCTTGTTATTACTCTGACGCCTCCCACTCCTCCTCCTCCTTCTTCCTCCCGCTCGCGCCTCCCTCCTCCCAATGATAATCACCAGATAAGACAAGACAAGATAAGATACTACAAGATAAGATAAGATAGCACAAGATATGATAAGAAGAGATTTCAAGATAAGATAAGATAAGTTAAGCTCACACTCACACTCTCTCATGATCACAAAACGCTGCCAGGGGCATCATTTGGGAGCCCCAAGGGGGAGCCACCCTGGCTGATCTCACGAGCCCGTTCGCGCCGATTTTGGTGGGACGTCTCAGCTAGAATTGCCGTTTGGCGCCCCCAACATGTATCTCTTGAGAGCCTCATGGTCACAAAACGCTGCCAGGGGCATCATTTGGGAGCCCCAAGGGGGAGCCACCCTGGCTGATCTCACGAGCCCGTTCGCGCCGATTTTGGTGGGACGTCTCAGCTAGAATTGCCGTTTGGCGCCCCCAACATGTATCTCTTGAGAGCCTCATGGTCGCAAAACGCTGCCAGGGGCATCATTTGGGAGCCCCAAGGGGGAGCCACCCTGGCTGATCTCACGAGCCCGTTCGCGCCGATTTTGGTGGGACGTCTCAGCTAGAATTGCCGTTTGGCGCCCCAACATGTATCTCTTGAGAGCCTCATGGTCACAAAACGCTGCCAGGGGCATCATTTGGGAGCCCCAAGGGGGAGCCACCCTGGCTGATCTCACGAGCCCGTTCGCGCCGATTTTGGTGGGACGTCTCAGCTAGAATTGCCGTTTGGCGCCCCCAACATGTATCTCTTGAGAGCCTCATGGTCACAAAACGCTGCCAGGGGCATCATTTGGGAGCCCCAAGGGGGAGCCACCCTGGCTGATCTCACGAGCCCGTTCGCGCCGATTTTGGTGGGACGCCTCAGCTAGAATTGCCGTTTGGCCTCCCCAACATGTATCTCTTGAGAGCCTCATGGTCACAAAACGCTGCCAGGGGCATCATTTGGGAGCCCCAAGGGGGAGCCACCCTGGCTGATCTCACGAGCCCGTGACGAGAGAGAGAGAGAGAGAGAGAGAGCAAGAGAGAGAGAGAGAGAGAGAGAGCGAGAGAGAGGGAGAGGAGAGAGAGAGAGAGAGAGAGAGCGGAGAGAGAGAGAGAGGGGAGTTGAGAGAGGAGACAGGCGAGAGAAAGAGAGAAGAGAGAAGAGAGAGAGAGAGAGAGAGAGAGAGAGAGAGAAGAGAGAGAGAGAGAGATAGAGATAGAAGAGAGAGAGAGAGAGAGAGAGAGAGAGAGAGAGAGAGAGAGAGAGAGTGGAGAGAGAGGGGGGGGGGAGAGAGAGAGAGAAGAGAGAGAGAGAGAGAGAGAGAGAGAGAGAGAGAGAGAGAGAGAGAGAGAGAGAGAGAGAGAGAGAGAGCGAGAGACGAGAGAGAGAGAGAGAGAGAGAGAGAGAGAGAGAGAGAGAGAGAGAGAGAGCGGGAGAGAGCGAGAGAGAGAGCGAGAGAGAGCGAGAGAGAGCGAGAGAGAGCGAGTGAGAGCGAGAGAGAGAGAGAGAGAGCGAGAGAGAGCGACAGAGAGCGAGAGAGAGCAAGAGAGAGCGAGAGAGCGAAAGAGAGAGAGAGAGAGAAAGAGAGAGAGAGAGAGAGATAGAGAGAGAAAGAGAGAGAGAGAGAGAGAAGAGAGAAGAGAAGAGAAGAGAGAGAGCGAGAGAGAGAGAGAGGGAGAGTGAGAGAGAGAGGAGAGAGCAGAGAGAGAATAGAGAGAAGAGAGAGAGGAGAGAGAGAGAGAGAGAGGCAGAGATAGAGGCAGAGAGAGAGAGGCACAGAGAGAGAGGCAGAGAGAGAGAGAGAGGCAGAGAGACAAAGGCAGAGAGAGAGGCAGAGAGAGAGAGAGAGGCAGGGAAATAGAGGCAGAGACAGAGAGAGGGCAGAGAGAGAGAGAGACAGAGAGAGCAGAGAGAGCAGAGAGAGAGGCAGCTCAGTCACACTTAAATCCAGATTCGTCCTCACCGAGTCCCACCACCAAGGGAGCGCCAGCAAGGAGATGCACATATGGGGATCCCCACGCAGTGAATAATTGATCACCTCTGAACTGTTTTTGGATATTTCGGGTATGTTTGAATTTACACCCATTTTGTAAGTTCTCGCCCCGCGCCCGCCTGTAGGGGACATGCCCGACCTAACCTCAGTCCTCACCCCCGTCCCTGGTGGTTTTCGGGCCGCAGCTCGGGCCTCTGACTGGACCTTCGGGGCGAGCCGGGCTCTCGACGAGGCGCGCAGCCTCTGAAGCAGACATCCCGAGGCTGGACAGCCGCCGAGGCCCGCCTCCTCGCTCTAGCCGAACCTCTCCCTTCGCGCCTTCGTGCCCCCAGTGATCACCACGGTCTTGCGGCTCAAGCTGGGCGGGATGTCCAGGCCGCTGCCCTGGGAGAGACGCGTGCCGGTGAGGGGCCTGGTCGGCCCGCGTCGGGGGCGTGGGCGGGGCATCGGGGCGGGGCCAGCGCGGATTCAGCGACCGATCCTCCTCCTCGCCCTCCTCCTCATTGGCCTCCGTGCCCTGCTGTTTCACATCTTCCCCATCATAGCTTCCTCCTCTGATTTCTCTTCCTGGCCCTCCTAATTCCCCCCCCTCCCCCCCGCCCTCCCCACCTCCCACTTCCCCCGCCCAGTCCCTTCTGCTCCCCCCTCCCTTCTCTTCCTCCTCCCTTTCCTCATCGTTCCCGCTTTCTCGTCCTCCTTCTCCTCCCGCTGCTCCTGCTCCTCCTCCTCCTTCATCCTGTGCCTGGCAAGGGGCCCGTCGACCTGCCGGTGTACCCTCTGTTTTGGGACGCCCTCCGATCCATGCTCCGAGGCTCTTCCTCCTCCTCTTCTTGGGGTCCCAAACACCAGAGGTCGCTTAGGAGTCTCATGTGTAATGTACACTGGGCCGCGAGCGCGAGTGCACGGACACGGCATGCACCCCTGTGGTAAGTGCAGGTTGTGCATGGAGGAGGAGGGTACTTTGTGGCACAGACATTTTCACTGCGTGGCTCACTCGGGGCTTCGCCGGGACGGCGTTTCAAATTGGTTGATGCAGAGGGCCATGCGTGTCAAGGCTAGCGGGGACGAGATGGCAGAGAGATTCGCACGCTGCATTTTCCCATCACCGCTCGTGTTCATCCCAGCTGGAAGTCCAAAGCAGGAGATTTTTGGGATACATCGACCTGTGACGGGCCGGCTGTCGGGCCTGATCTTTTCGGATGGAGCGGCCCTCTGGCCTGGTATCCCTGGTGTTTCTAGGGCTGGTTGGGCGCATGTCCAAGTGAACGAATTCGGAGACGTTGTGGCCGGGGCTTACGGCCCCGTGCCGTTCAGGCACGGGCCGCGCCAGACGGCTAAAGACGGAGAGGACTACGCGGTCTACATGCTAACTCAATGAACGATGACAACGATCGATCTCTACTCGAATTGCCTCGGAACTTTAAACGTTCTCTGAGGTGGTCCTGGCTCGGGGGCGTCTGCGGGAGGGCCGCGGGCCTCGTGATGGAGAGCGCGAGATGGGCAGCGCAGCTTGAGATGCACTTGCAAGAATTGGAAAGAAGTAGGCAAGACACGGTAGTATTGGATTCCGACGCCATCCAGCTAATTCCCCATACGCTGGAGCGGCCACCCCAGCCGGAGCCCGTGCAAGCGGCTTCCGATGATGAAGAGACGGGTGACGGGTCGGACGGGGGTCGGGGTCTTGATTGGGTCGATCTGACCACGAACGCGTTTTATATTTGTGGCCACGCTCTCATGAGATGCGAAGTGACATCCCCGCAGAGGGGGGGGAAATTATTGTGTATATTGTTGTCGTTGTGGTGGGCATTGCCAAGATTATCAGCCTGGGGAATCTTTGAAGGCGGATTGCCGGGGACGGCCCAGGACTCCCCAGAAAGAGTCCGCGTTGAAGCGAATTCGTGACGGCAAGCACCCCCATTACCGAGCAACCACGAAGCATCTGTTGCTGTCGGGCTCTTGGGGTCTGAGCGATACGGAACGAGACTTGATGTCCGTGCGCGTCCGTCCATCTCGCGCCCTGCCGCCAGCACAGGTAGGCAAGGCCTCGACAGGATGCGCTTCGAAGGAACAGGTCCTGGAGGCATTCGGCTTGCTCGAATGTGACCTCGCCCAAGTACGGGCTTTGGGCGAGGCGGCTAGGCGGCCGCCGGAGGAAGGAGAGGATGACGGGTCCTCTGAATCCGATGGCGATGTTTGTGATTGCTGTTAAACTGACTTTAGGTCGCTCCACAACAACAACCTTCATCCTGTGCCCTCCTCCTATGCCTCGCCCATCTTTTCTCCTCCTCCTCCTCCTCCTCTCTCATCGCTCCTCCCTCCTCCCTCCTCCCTTGTCGTCCCCGCCTCTCCCTGCCTCCCGCCACCTCTCGCCTTCCAGCCTCTAGCCTCAAAACCCTCCAATCCCTTCTCCCTCCTCAAATGCTCCCTCATCCCCCCCTCTACCATCCCTTCTCCCTTCTCCCTCTTTTTCTTCTTCTGATTCTTACTATTCTTCCGCCGCCTCCTCCTCCTCCTCTTCCTCCAGGCTCCCGCCTTCCTTTCACTTCACCTCCTCCTCCAAACCGTCCCCCCATCTTCATCCTCTTCATCCCCTCCCCACCCCTGATCTTTTCCTCGTGGGGCATCTCAGGGAACAGGGGGAGACGGCGTGCGAAGGGGAAAACTTGCACCTACACCTATTTATACATACATACATACATACATACATACATACATACATACATACATACATACATACATACATGCATGCATGCAGACGTGCGTACATACATACATACATACATACATACATACATACATACATACATACATACATACATACATACATACATACATACGTACATACGCACAAACATACATACATACAAACATCCATTCATCCATCCATTCATCCATCCATACATACATACCTACAGACAGATAGACAGACAGACATACATACATGCATACATACATACACACATCTATACATGCATACATCCATATACACACATGTGTATGAGCATGTGGATCCTGGGGTACTCCCGCCCCCTGAAAACTGAGCGGAGGGAGTCAATTGTCAAGACTCCCCTTCCTTCACCTTCGCTACTCTGCCTTCCTCGTCTTCTCGACTCCGCCTTCCCCCTCGTCTCAACTATCCTCCTCCTCCTCCGTTCTCATATCCACTTTTTTTTCTTCCTGCAGCTGGAGGATTGACAACGAAACAACAAACAACAAAGACGCACACACACGCACACACAGACATACACACAAACAACGTTACTGAAGTGTTGGCGGATGAAACTGTTGACTACTCATACATATATAACTGTAGTTTTACACAAACAATACCCAAAGACCCAAGAGACGCCAAACGGCAGAGAGGAGGAAAGGAAGAAGAAGGAGAAGGAGGGCGTTGGAAAGCAACCAACAAATGTAACAAGCACAAGCAACACATTACCTGAAGTGCTGGCGGCGGAAGCGTTAGGACAACCATTGGGGACGCAACAACAATCCCAGGAGAAACCGTCCGAAGGGAAACGTTCGAAAAACCCAACGTTATCTGTGGACGTTGCTTTTTTGGCTTTCCCACTGGCTGTCCTCAGGTTCTGCCGCCACCACGGCAATTTCGTTGTTTGTACTTTTGTTCCGTGTGCTTGGTTGATTTCCAACGCCATGAAACGTTTGACAATATGAATGCTACTCTCGCCCCTCGCCTGATGACGTCCGGAAGATGTTCGGCCCTCCTCCACATACTGTTCTTTTATATACGCAGGGTTCCCAGGAGTTGGGTCGTCGCTGTTTTTGTTTTAAAAGGTTGCTCCCGCTGAAGCGCTGGACTCATTTTCGGGCTTCCGCTCGTTCCGAATCGTGCTCCCGCTGCAGCGCAGGCCTCATTTCAGCGCTTTCGCTCGTTCCGAATCGTGCTCCCGCTGCAGCGCTAGCCTTATTTCCGCGTTTCCGTTCGTTCCGAATCGTGCTCCCGCTGCAGCGCTGGCGTCACTATTTCCAGTACCATGCAACGGCATGCAATGCAATGCTATGTGGTGTTCCGCTCTGCGATGCCATGCCTTCAGCTGCAATGCTAGGATATGCACTGCTTGGCTACGCAGTGTCACGCCATGCTATGCCATGCTACGATTTGATCTTCAACGCCATGTGATGTCATGTTATGTTCTGTGCCGCTGTGCGATGTATACCATTATATGCGTTGCAATGCTTTGTGTTGCAATTCTTCGCTACGCAACGCCACGCCATGCTATGCCGTACTACGCGCTGCCGTGCAACTCTACACCCTGCTATGCTGTGCTCTACGATGCATCGCGCACCCTCTCGGGATCATTGCCCGGTTTAACATCCGACTGTGCGAATGGAGGGGGGATCTACGCTATGGTAAGAGATGGGAGGGATGGGGTGGGACGTCAGATATGACGCGAGCGCACTTAGCTCGTCCTCCCCCCTCCCCCTCCTCCTCCTCGTTCTTCTCCTCTTCCTCGTCTTCCTCCTCCTCCTCCTCCTCCTCCTCCTCCTCCTTCTCCTCCTCCTCCTCCTCCTCCTTCTCCTCCTCCTCCTCCTCCTCCTCCTCCTCCTCCTCCTCCTCCTCCTCCTCCCCTTGAATTTTACTTCCGCCGCCTTTCGCCGGCCCCCCGCTGACGAAGCGACAGCAGCTTCCCGCTGGACCCCCCCGGAGGCGGGGAGCCCCCCCCGGCGGAACGCGGCGCATCGTCCCGAGGCGTCGCCGCGTCGCGCGAGGCTCTCGCTGCCTCGGTTGCCGTCCCCGCGCCCTCGTCGGACCCGCGGACCCGCAAAGGGGCTGTTCTGACAGGGGATAGGTCGACCCCTGCAGTCGGGCCGCTGAAATAAGGAACGCTAAATAAGGAACGAGGCCCCTTGTTGGCCCCCAAAGCGACTGCGTACACGAGGAGGGCTTGAGGAACAGCCATGGAAGGGCCTAAGGGACCTCGAGCCCCTTCCGAACCCAAACTGTTCCTCAGTCCAGCGACTTGACTGTATCCCAGGCTCCGTGGGGTCTTCGAATGGACCCAAGAATTCTGGACCAGAAAATTGGAGGGGGGGGGGGGCGGCGGCCCCCCTCGATAGGGAGTGCGTCCGAAGGGCCCCCTTGGGGTGTGTCCCAGGGCTGCTTCCTGAACGGCCAGGCTTTTTCGGGCGGAGCTCTCGGCGGGTGGGGGAGAAGAAGCGCCTGCGATGTTCATCCGCTCCCCGTCGTCCTCGAGTTAGGTCGGGCACGTCCGCCTCACACGAACCATTGTTCAAACACACCCCAAAATTGTCCAAACATCGTACCCCGACGTTCTGTATTACTATCTCTGAGTACTCCTCCTTTAGAAGGGGCATGCCCGACCTAAGGGTCGGGGGAGAGGACATCGCATGCGATGCTCATCGGCTCCCCGTCGTTCTCGAGGCGACGCC